TTTAATAACATAGTTATTACATACTGTATGACATAAATATTCATAAAAATTACATGATACCATATTTTCCCCAAATAATTATGGTAGTATAACCTGCCTGGATGGATTGTTTTGTGGGGTGATTTATTTTACCCTACACTATTCCTTGACAGCACTATTGTTTTGTTTTGTAGCATCTCTCTTCAGTTTTGCACTTTGTAGACGGTCCCTGCTGGACCGAGCCAGAGCCGGCAGCGCATTGGAGTCAATTGAAGTCGTCGCGTATGAAGGGCGGCTTGTAATGTTTAAAATGGAGCTGTAGCTTGCAGTCTACATAACTGGCTTCAGATATAAATGTTGTTTTTTTTCTGAAAGCAATGTTCCGCTAATTACTTATTGACACGGGACCGCGAATCTGTGAATATCTTTGTAACTTCACCTAACCCACGAGATCATGAATAAATATCTCAGGAAAACAAACTCCGTTTTCTTGAAATAACGAGATACTATAAATAAATAAATAAATAAATAAATAAATAAATAAATAAATAATTGTAAGATGTCGCTATTTCGAGAAAACGGCTTGTAAATAATAATAATAATAATAATTTTTAAAAAAACATGTCCTCTTAGGGCTTCCGTAACACAAAATATATGTGAATAAAAACATTTACGTGACACTGTAACGTACAAAATGTAAACCTATGAAATTAAATAAGTCACATTTTGAAGTAACTCCTGATAGCTCTAATTGTTGCTTTTCCTAACAGCCCGACAGGTGACTTTCCCATTCACTGCGCGTTCCGGGGATTATTATCTTGTCCGCGCTCCTCGCTTTCAGACTCTTTGGTCCAGAGTCAGCCAACATGGCGGCCATGTGAAGTGAAGCGGGTTGTCTGCAGTGCCAAGAAAATGAGGTGAGTTCTGATTTATGGAGGGACGCGTAGCATCGCTTCTGCTGTGAAATGTCATAAATTAGAGATGTTGCGAGAGAGTTTGGTTAACTAAAGGTATGGCGGTGTTTTATCTAATGAAACATTTAGCTAACATCACGTCAAAGTTAGCAAATAATTGTTTAATGCAACAAAGCCGCTTTGAGCGACATGCAACGACTTTGCACAACAAAGTTGGCGTGTGTGAGGAAGTAGCTGGGATTTTGGAGCACATTTAAGACAAAATACGATGGAACTCTTTGATTTAGAGCTTCTCGTGCTGTATTTTTGATCCTGTGCAGCTGTGGAGTTCCTTTACTTTCCTACAGTTTTCCTCCCACTGATAACAGCACCAGGCTGGTATCATTGTTTGAACAGCCCAGTTGGTTCAGAATGCCTCATACACATTGAGATTAATATGTTTTGTCAAAAGGACGTTTTTTTCTATTTCCCTGCCTGATAGCATGTGTTCAGCATTTTATTTTTATTTTATTTTTTTAAATGCATGTGTTGCGATAGAAATAAACTGCTAACCTGTGTGTTTCTCTGTGATTCAGGGTGCCCCGTTGCTGTTTTGGGGGCCGGAGAGCCTATTTGGTTTGGCCAATCCTGCTGATCCTCCTGGTTGGAGCAGCTTTGACAGCTCTGCTGCCACCTGCTGAGGACCAAGGAGCTGCTGGAGTCCTGGGAGTACTACGCAGGGCTGCAGAATCAAAGGAGAGTCACCACGCTGACAGCTCAGAGGAGGAAAAGTTCACCGTCGTCATCCAAACCTACAACCGCACAGACGTTTTGCTCAAACTCCTGAACCACTACCAGGCAGTGCCTCACCTTCAGAAGATTATCATCGTGTGGAACAATGTTGGGGAGCAGACGCCCCTGAAGTTGTGGAACTCTTTGGGGCCTCATCCGGTCCAGGTGGTCTTCAAGGAGCAGAAGAGCAATCAAATGCGCAACAGACTACAGTCGTTCCCAGAGATCAATACGGATGGTCCGTATGTCTTGCACAATATTCGCTGAACAACAATATAAACGCAGCATACAAATGGTTTTCTTTTTTGACTTGGAGAAATTCCCGTTGTGCTGGTTGGAAAACGGTTTTATTTTATTTAGCCAATTGTGGACAAAAAGTCACAGATGTCTGGCACAACATGATGCAAATGGTGGACACAGTCATTATTGGCTTATGATTTCTGGTGTTTGACCCCACTCTCCATCTGCCCATTATCATTTCCAGTACAGTCATGTTTGTTGTTCCAATCTGTTAAAGAGATGCTGTGTGTTGAAACAACAAATCCTGATTCCCTTATGTTGAAAATAATGGAAAGCATTCACTAAAATATCACATGCTGCATTTCTATTTGTGTTTTGCAGACATTATTTTAATCAGTTATTGAAAGGTATTTATACAGACTTGTGTATTTTCTTTGCGTCAACAAATTTAAAGTATAGTTTGTCTTTTTTTTTCCTGGTTCTTTAGCTGTCTTGATGCTGGATGATGACACCCTCATCAGTGTTCCTGACATCAGTTTTGCTTTCTCTGTTTGGAAGGTAATAAACTTCAACCAACGATGAACATACAAAACTGATATATTAGCATTATGCGATCATTTAACTTCACCATAAATAATGTTGCTGGCATGACCAGGCATAGTAAAAGTTGTTTTTTTCTCTGGTTCCACAGCAATTTCCAGACCAAATTGTTGGATTTGTCCCACGGAAACATGTCGCAACACCAGCAGGAGTTTACAGTTACGGCAGCTTTGAGTTGCAGAATCCAGAAGCAGCTGGAGGTGACAGGTATGGTTTTTGTTTTGAATCCCTGCACACTTGCTGCTTGTTACGTCTGATTTGATGCAAAAAGCCATTTCTTTAAAACTTGTATCTCAATCTCTTCCCTACAGATACTCCATGGTGTTAATTGGTGCTGCTTTCTTCCACCGTCGCTACCTGCAGCTCTTCCAGGAGCAACCTCCAGCGGTGCACGCCTTAGTCGATGAAACGCAGAACTGTGACGATATTGCCATGAACTTCGTAGTAGCATTATATTTAAGGAAACACTCCAAGGCCAGCAGAGTCAGTAAACCCTCTGGGGTTTTTGTCAAACCTGTGGACCTCCGCAACCTGGAAAAAGATGCCAGCAGTGGGTACCAGGGAATGTGGCATCGCCCCGAACACCTTCTCCAGAGGTCCTACTGCCTGAACAGACTGACGCAGATCTATGGCTTCATGCCGCTCTGCTTCTCCAACCTGATGGTCTCCCAGTTTGGTTTCCCCACCTATGCCAATCACAAGAGTAGGGGCTGAGGAAGTTGCTGATTTGTTGTTGGAGTGAAAGAAGACAAGTTCAAGTAGCAGCCTGGTAAGTCTGTCTTGGTTTACATCACATCACACATCTGGGCAGAGGACTAGCTGAAATGAGGGGATTTTCTCACTTTTCAGTGATCCGTGGATAGTCATTAGCCACCGGATGTGTTTGGAAACAAACATGATTTAAAGACATTTTTATTGTTTTATTGTTGGACATCTTCAGCGTCTTCAGTGGTAGAACGCTCCGACAATTTTGTTTTTTGGGTGCATTTTACAATCCTGAGCAGTCCCATCATGACTTCAGCAGGACAGTGATGGACTTTCATCATTTGGATGACTGCAAGGACTTAAGGACTTTCTGCACACGGTCCAGTCGGATAAAACGTCCATATTTGATAAGGTCATCTGTACTGTTGCCAAAGGCGGCCTTTCCTCCAGCATGTCCAACTTCCTCAGTGGATTTTAGTGCATTTACTTTAAAGCCAGCCGGCGTCGGTCTTAACTTTAAACTCGCCTCGTTTTTAACTGTGATTTACAAGATGTATACATTTTCTGTTGTCTCATTTTTCTGACAAATCAGTGCTAGAAGATTTATTCCATAGTAATGTTTAGCCAAAAAAACCCCACACGAGTTTGAATCTGGGGATAGAACAGAATTAGTGAAAGCATTTGAAAGCTATATTTATATCCTACGCATGCATGGACAATCAGTTTTTTTTTAATGTATGCATATGTGTTTGTAAGGTTCTATCATGTGATTCAATTGAATAAAGTTGTCCTCTTTTTCTAACAAAATCTGAAGACGAATTCATATAATGAGGAGTTAGTGAGATACAAGTCTGGAAACATTCAGATATATATGACTAAAACATTCACACAGTTAATAATTGGCAGATTAATAAAAAATAGTTGCAGCCCTGGATGAGCCACTGCCACAGAGGACATTGCTAGGAGCCACTGCTACTGACAAGACTTTAAAAACAGAGATACAAAACCAAATCAACAGAGAATGTTGTCCTCATGTTAGAGGAGGAATCAATTCTCACTTCTAGTAGGTAGATGTAGCTGTTTGTCCAAAATGACTCGACATGTTTTTGTTTCAGTTGAGAATAATCAACGAGCATAAATGCACAACTGATTGTTAAACCCTCAGTTTTAATAATGACAAAAGATCAGCCCATAAAAGTTTAATTACTGAACTGGATCAGCACTCTGGCATTTCTGTCCAGCTCTCTTTGATAATCTAAACAGGAAAACGCTGACATGATGGGTCCGGGTTAAACATCCAAGAGGTAGGAGAGTGATATTGTTTCATTTTGTAACTGGAACAGCTTTGAGGGACACAGTAAACATCTGGACAGTAAAAACCTGATGTGACCTGTTGTTAAATTTCAAGTCTCTGCCATTAAATCAGCAAACGCTCATTTCTAACTTTGGATGGAAAACTATATTTATTAATGAATAATAACAGCCCGCTCCATCTCAGTGAATAAAAGTGTCCTTGCATACTCTGAGGTAATTGGAGTCCAGTTTTTTTTTTTTTTTAAAAAGGAGTCTTATTGTGATCCGGGTCCGCTGTCACCAGGCCCACCTCCCGGCCTGGATCCTCTGCTGCTCGGGGAACGCATGTCGTGCCACAGCTTCACAAGAGGCTCCCTCTTCCTCCAAATTAGTTTGTGACCGTATGCCACGTACCATCTGCAGGTCGAGATGTAAAGAGATTGTTCAAATGTAGTGAACATGATAATCCTATGAGGCCACATTTAAAGCCCAGTAATACCAACAATAAGAGCAACATCCATGAACAAAACACTGTATTCACAAAAGTATATCATCGTCCCATACAGTATACTGTTTACCTATAAACTGATCTGGATTCCTCTTCAGCCTTAACATGCATTATAGTCACGTAAAGTAGTATTTATTACAACTTACGCAGGGTTTTAATGCCTATTATGTAAATGACACTATAAATAACACATTAGGGTCTCAAGCCCAATATGTAAACTTGTTACGTTAATTTGTATCATCAGTCATAATCTGTTTTTTTTGCTAAAAAACACTTTGTTGCCATGATTGTTTTATTAAATGTGCTATTAAAAGGTGACTTGACTCCTCAGGCCCATTTAAAATGTGTTTTTCAGCTAAGTTGAGATGCAAGAAGATCTTGACCTTTGAAATAATCTTTCTTCAGCATCCACTTACAGGCTTTTTCAGCTGTATCTCAGACTTGATCAGCAGCAATCACATGACCAAAATTCCAGACTTAGGTCATGTGATGACAACTAAACAATCATCTCATGGAGACACAGGAAAAAACAAGCAAAATCCATCTGAAACCAGGAAATGTTTTTGAAAGCTCCAGAAAAAGTAAGTAAGCAGATTTCAAATTATTTATATTTTGTCAAAATTTCACTGTATTTCTTATGATCTTACCAGGAAGTATATGTTCAGAGTGGAAGATAAAAATGAGATGAGAGAACTCACACTCCAAAGAGGGCTCCGCCAAGGTGAGCTGCGTGGTCAAACAGCCGCCATCCCATCAAAAGCCCGGCGGCATCTACAGCCACGAGCGCTTTCAGAACCTAACCAATCACACAAACCTGACGTTACACGCAACACGCTTAAGTGCATCTAGAACGGCTATTCTTTACATTCAGGCATGCGTACTTACACATTCACTCATTCATACACTTGTTCGTTTTGCTCATGCACAGATTTACATCTCTTGCCTGCAGCAAAAAAACACGAAGACATTAAGACGCTATTAAATGTATGAACAAGCAAACTCTGTTCAGATTATGTTTCAGAGGCGCTTATCTACTAAAAAACGTCTTGTTCAAAGTGTGCATATTGCTCATTCAGTACCATGAGCGCACAAAAACACAAACACCATTTTTACACACACGGACTTGGATATGCGTCTCTTACATTTCCTGCCGTTATAGTGACCATAGGAAGGAAGATTATGCCGAGTTTGGCCTCTGGCACCTTTGCACAGACTGCAGCAAGTACCGCCATGACGGCACCTGACTGTGGAGCACACAAAGTGACAAGTTGACAATTTGTACTTTATTTGTGTTAAGCTTTAAAAAGAGGTTTTAACAAAAAGATCTTACCGCCCCTAATGATGGATAGAGACGACCTGTGGCTGTTTTGCACATGTAACTGACCATAGTGGAAATCACACCTGAGAAGACATGCAACTGAGAATGAGAGATTGTTTTTCTTCCTTTAAAAAAAAAAAAGACATTGCGCCCCTTCTTACATCCGATCACCTATTTTCTTAATCACCTTTTTCAACCAAATACATCCCCCAAATGGTTCTAACAGTTGCTGTTTCACCTATTTCAGGTGAAACACTGAAATAAATGAAAATTTCCGTCACCTTTGAACCACCAGAGAAAGTAAAAGTGTCTGGAATTCTGAAAAAAATAGCTGTTGAAATGTGTTCATGAAAGAAGTGGAAAATTCCCCCGAAGATAAAGCAGGAGGAGGTAGCTGGTGTGTGTTATGAGAAGCTGAAATTACGCTGACGGCTCAAGAATAAAAGCAGAAATAATTTAAATTCTTTGTGTCTCTGCTTTAAAGACACCTTCTGATGCAAATCAAGCTGTTGTTGTTGTTTTTTCCCCTTGTTAACATGCCTTTATGATGCTTTTTACAAGCTGCAAGATAAATTAGAAGTGAAGGAAGCTGCCAACACCATGGCTGGCATGGTTTCCAACTCATATGAGTGAGGCTGGAATGCTCCAGTTTACAACTTGTCACGCAAAGTAGTCAAACAGTATTTGAGCGGTGAGCTGGTGTGCCTGAGCTGCAGGCAGGCGGTGGCAGAGACTTTTTAGATCTGCACATTCTAGAGTTACATCTAAGCAATTTGACGTCAGTAGGGGATTATTTTAATGGAAAAACTTCTAAATGTGTTATTTTGTACACAGAGATGAGTGTTTAGGAGTTTAATTAAGAACCTTACAATGTTACAAATGTGAGTAGATGTGTAATCGTTGAAATTGCTGTTTGGAAAATGCTAACAGACGGAATAAATGAGTCTAATAATTAGGTTCGAACTGAAGCACCAAAAGCAGGTTCAAGGTTAGGAAGCGTATTATTACCCAGTCCTGTTCAGCACTGAGTGTCTCTTCTTTAAGGTTGAAGTTATGTTGCTTCTAGTAAATATATATTCGGTGCAACGTGTCGGTCTTTCAATGTTGCATCATAAATGTAATCTAGAAAAGTTTACATCGCGTACCTGAAGAAAATATAAGCAGGCTGACTGTGAAAGTTGAGGGTGTGTTCAGTATATTAGGATTATTTCCAAGTTGTTAAATGACTGAACAGAAATCTTAAAAAAATGCATTCAAAAATGCATTTGCATGCAAAAAAAAAGCATTCAGAACTAGTAAATATTCTCTTATGTTCTATTCTTGATTCGACTCACCAGCAGACATGTAGACCGCAAGAAACTGCTCTTTTCCCAACAGAGAGACGATTCCCGAGGAGAATGTCCATAGGACATACATGTTGGCCACCATGTGGATTATGGAGTAGTGGCTGAAGGAGGACAGGACCATGGGAAGGCACCGTGTTTCTGGTGGGGGAGGAGACAAAGAGGACTTGAACAACTGTGCTTTGGAAACACAAAGAGAACTTGATCATGGCCAGTAAATCAAGCTGCAAATCTTCCACTTGCAACAAATTCAGTGCTCTTGTTATCCTCGAGTAACTGCTTATTCCTCATTATTCATTGTAATTTTCCCAGTTTTACTCACTGGAGGCTGGGTTGGACGTGAAGTACTTAATCATGCTTCTCTGCATCGAAGGGATTCGCCAGCAGCACAGGACCGCAGCATTTACTGCAATAATACCTAGAAACCATGAATAAGCAAAACTGTTATCTGCGAGGAAATGTGGGATTATATTGAAGATGTAAACATTAGCCAAATTCAAAGACAAACAAGGACGAAGAGAGTCGGCTGAATAAGCTACCCGCGACTGTCCTCTGTCCCTCCGTGAGGCCGCTCCAGAAGTCGTCCACCGTGGACATGAGCAGGATGAGCTGTCGCTGGAAGCCGGACAGCTGGTTCCACCACTGGTGCCAGTATGCCATGTCCTGGGAGCCCTGGTAGCAAATGTACAGTCCATCGACTTAAGGAGGTAATACGAGTCGACAGCGGTGGAGGAAACGTGCATCATTAAATCCTCACCTGCATTAGTTTTTCTCCCTCTTCTCCATCTCTGGCCGTCTGAACTCTGGACTTCAGGGTCTCATATTGCAGAATAGCTGCCGCGCCAAAGGAGCAGCCTGTAAACTGACATGGAATCAGACAACCGAAACCGTCCTACTGTCCCCAACATCATTATAACGTGCATTTATTTTCTTATGTGAAGGAAAAATCATTCTGAAAACAGAGGGACCTACCCCCACCGTGAACATCAGCGGCGTAAACAGCGTTGGCCTCGGGACCCTTGGAGGAGGAGGAGGAGGAGGAAGAGGAGGAGGAGGCCCTGGTGTGGCGACCTCAGAGGCGTTTGTTTCTTGGGTGACATTTCCTTTCTTTGTATCTGGCCTTTTGGCTTCCCGACGGAAACCACACCTCTGCTGGTTGTAGTGGCCGAGTCTGTTAAAAAACAAACAAACAGGAGGCAGAATTAAAACCCACTTTATAGATAATCAGATCCAACACGTGGTGTTTTCTACAACAGAATGGACATCATGGAACAACTAAGTTACACCACGTAGGAGATGATAATGGAGATCATAAGAAGATAAGTCAGTAACAAGTGCTTCCACCACTGTGACACATTTGGGATGCATAGAGGTTGTGGATTGTTGTCCTGCTCTTCCTGAAGGGCTCAGGGAAGATGGTGGGCGTTTTGGGGGGACAGGATCACACTGTGGGACATCCAGAGCATCACGTGGCTATTGTACCATGTTGTCTCAATTAATTTTTTAGCTGACATATGGCAGAGTTGTGGACATTCAGATGCCTGACTGTGGCCATAACTGACATGTTATTATCCAGCATGCCGGTGTTATTTGAATAAAGCTGCATTTTAAGGCGGACTTTTATAGTTAGTGGTCCAAGTACGCTAATCTGCTCATTGTCCTATAACTCAGCGGTCGACGATCCATCAGCGGCTGAACCTTTTGTGCACAACTGTGTAAACTGAACCCACTTTCTACTCATAGCAATAGAAATGAGGACTTTTTTTGTGAATCATTTTCAAGCTGAATTTCTATTTTTGTTCAGTGCAAATACACAATTTAACTAACAGTTTCACACTACAATGCAAAAAGTAATATTATCAGCCCTGCTTTGAAAAGTGTGAACCTTGAAATGTTGGTTTTGTTGTACAATATTGTTCATAGGAACATAATGTAATATCAAGATTAGTTTATTACATGAGACAAAAATCAGTGACTTTTAATTTCTGCAACACATGACCAAAATAGTTGTTAAATATTCTGATTCACATTAAATCTAATCCTTGTAATTGTACTAGTCTGTGGTTAAACCCATCAGCTGTGCATCCAGCAGGACACACAGCAGACAGTATGCAGGGCGAACATGTTGTTCAGTTCAGCTTCATTCAAAAACAACAACAACAACAACAAAACCCCCACATCAAACAAACAACACGGACAGTGGTAGTGCTGCAAATATTTTTTCAGTAATTAAATGTCACTGAGGCAGTCTTGATCTCCGTGGATCTGTGCACAATGACAGGGGGAACGGTTAGGTAACGCACACTGCTGCTCGACACACACACACACACACAAACACACACACACACCCAGTCAGAGGTATTCTGGTTTGGACTGAGCCTGCGACCCGAGCGACGCGTTATTTGCTCACCTGGAGCTTCGTGGAGTTGTGTTGTGGGATCTGATGAACTCTGTTTTGGCCCATTTGATTACATATCCTCTCCACGCCATGTCTGTGATGACCTCCCGCACGAGGCTCCGCCCAGCTGCTGCTGCTGATGCGTTCACGGACCCCGCAAAAAGCTGCGATTTTTTTTTATGTGGTTACTTCAGGGTTTGTCCCAACGCGTACGTTTGCAATACTTCTCACCCCGGATACACAGTTTAATGTGCATGTCTTACTTATATATAGACACTTTATTATATTGTTATTGCCGTTTTTTAAAGTCAGTGTTTGTAAAGACCTGCCTAAAATCAACGAGTGAAATTCCTTGTATGCTTAAATATACGTAAAGGTTGATTCTTACCTAATTGCACAAAATAATATGCTTCTGAGTTATATACAGTGTTTAACAAATTTCTTAGACCACCTGTGTAATTTGTTAAGCTCTATATATGTACATATAGACCATCCAGCATCATGAAGTGCTTTATTTCACACTCAGCTCTCGATGTTTCACTATTTTCAACAGAAATGATGAATTTCAAACTGAATTCACCTTCTTATACCCAAGTCTGAGCCTCTGAGCTTCTCTGAGAAGTCAGAAATTAATCAAGCATAACATTCAACCACCAAAACAATTTTTTTTCCTGTTCATGAATCCAAGTAAATAATAATTTGACATCTTAATCAAGAAATAATAATGTGCTTTACTATTTTTTAAGGTTATTTTTGTAGTAAAACGTTAAATTTGAACATTCATGGATAACAATGATAATTATATTTTAGCATTAAAAATATCATTTTGGTTAAAGAGCTTCTACATACTGGTGTATTAATCATTACAGAAACATTAAAAAATGATTTAGATAATTACCAGTGCTGTTAATTTAGGGCATAAACCTCACACTGGGCGGTGGTCTAGTAAATTTGTTAAGCTCTGTATCTCCCCCACACCCACACAGGCAGCACTTCACTTCCCTCTAGTGGCTCATTACAGTACCGATGTAGCCAGTAAAATCACACATAGTAATGGAAAGTACTTTTATTGAGGTGATGAACAAAAGTACTTTTTTGTCATTTAAGTTTTAATTAATTTTTTCCTCAATTAAGCATTCTGTGTACACAAACGTTACTTATGGAAGTTGTGTGCTATCATTACTTTACAAGACTCTCACCCAAAAAGAGGGCAAAAAATTTAACAGTCTAAAAGAATATAAAAAAAAAAACAATGATGAAACAAGACAATATAATAGGCATAGTATTCTTTATTTCGAGCACCTTTCAAAATACAAGTTAAAGCTGTCTCACAAGTCACCAAAATAAAGCAGACAAGTCAGAAAATGTGCAGATTTTAAAAGACAGACGAAAACACAGCAAGATGTATATTAAAAAAAAAACCCTAAAAGGTAAAAAATAAATAAATAAATTATTGCCAAAAAAAAAAAGATGTTTAAGTCAAATCAAATAAGAAAAAAATTCTCCAGTTAAAGCATGTGTCAGGAAGAAACTTAAAAGAGATCAGCTTCCTCAGTCGACCTGATTTCCTTGAGCAAATCGTTCCAGAACCTCTGGGTCCTGATTAGAAATGCTCTTTCCCCTTTAGTTTTCAGCTGAGCTCTGGAAAATCCTCTGCCCGAGGATCTCAGAGTGGCATACTGGTGCATATGGTTCTAAAAGGTCAAAGATATAAAAAGGAGAGAGGCCATGAATTGCATTAAAAGTAATCAGTAAAATCTTAAACTCTTACAGAAACCGTACTGGGAAAATAGGAGTGATGTGATCATGTTTCTTGGTTCTGGTTAAGAACCCGGCCGCTGAGGTCAAGTAGGACAACTGGTCTCGATCCTTTCCAAGCCTTTTAATGCAAGTGAGCCCCGAATATACAGTCAGAAATTAGCCTAGACTTTTGATTTTGTAATTTTCATTCTAGCTAATGAGCATTCAAATAGGGCAGCTGTAGTGATAAATGTGACCCATTCAGTGAGTTCTGCTGCTCTTGTGTTCTTCCAGTTTCACAAAAAAAAAAACAACACTTGCTGCAATAATGAAGCCTGTAAATTTTAATCCAACCTGAGCTTTGGTGACACCTGGTGGAGAAAAGAAGTATTGTCTCGAAGAAGCACAGAACTGAGAGGAATCTGCTAGGGCCTGTTTTATTTACTGGGTAGGTTTCACAGGCCCCTGTTTTTCAGCATGACTATATTGCATGCAAAAAAAAAAAAGTGCTACATGCCTCCTTGCATTTCCTTTTTTTTTTTTTATCTTGCATCAAGCCCATCCTAAATAACTTCAAACGAATATAGTAGTAGCCATGTATAATTTTGTAATGAAAAAAACTTCTCACTTCTAATGTGTCAGGATTAGATGTCCTCCCCAATGTCATGTTTTTAAAGTTCTCACATTGTGTACTGATGGTGTTTTTATATTTATCATTGTGGTGCAATACATCATATAACTTTTGTATGATTTTACATTCCCCTAAACTCATGCTAAGTTTGTAATTGGAGGTATTTCCAGCATTCTAGTTTCCTTTAAATTTAACCTGGTCAAGTAGCTCCTGTATAAGTGTTGAGGCTCTGTATAGATCATGACCATTCTCCTGCCAACTATCTCAGCTAACGTTTCCCTATTATACAGGGGTTGTTCCATATGTTTATATTGAGATTTTATGCTTTACACATATGTATATTGTGCTTTCTAACGGGGTTTCCATCTCCATCTATTTGCATTTTCTATAAAAGGACCTATAGGGGTTTGAAAGGAGCCGTCATACGTTTCTCTATTTTTGTCCGATCCAAATGGGAATCGCATTCTGCCCAGTGCCCAGCCAGCAGGCCCGTTTCAAAGGACAGATTATGCTTTCCACATTTTGCACTGCCAGGCTGCCCCCATCTGTAGGAGGGCACAGCTTAAAGAAGCGGACATGCAGGATTTTTCCATTCCAAAGATAGTCTGTGATCATTTGATTATGTTTGTTTACATGTCTTATTAGATAAAATTAGTGGTGGCATTATCGATTCAGCATTTTGTTAAATGCAAATCTAAAATTATCTTGATTGTGTTGAACTTTTTTAACAATTTACTGTGTTTCGACTTTGTTTCGTTCATTTCGATGCTACTTTTTACTTTCATTAGACTTCATTTCAGGCTGCAAGGTGGCTCGGTGGTTAGCACCGTTGCCTCGCAGCAAGATGGTCGCCGGTTCACGGCCCGGTGAGGACACCCAGGATCCTTCAGCGTGGAGTTTGCATGTTCTCCCCGTGCAGCGTGGGTTCTCTCCGAGTTCTCCGGCTTCCTCCCACGCAGTCCAAAAACATGTTGAGGTTAGTTGGTGATTCTAAATTGTCTGTAGGTGTGAATGTGAGTGTGCTTGGTTGTCTGTCTCTAAGTGTGGCCCTGTGATAGACTGGTTACCTGTCCAGGGTGTCCCCTGCCTTCACCCTGAGTCAGCTGGGATAGACTCCAACCCCCCAGCGACTCTAGTGAGGATTAAGCGATGTATAGATAATGGATGGATGGATGCATGGATACATTTTACTTTTCACTAATTTAATTTATATGACTTCCAGTGGTTTTGGAAATTAGATGTTATATTTCTGACTTTTGATCATTGTTCAAAATATACTGCACATGGCTGGCATTTTTTTGAACAGAAATCATTTTGACACATAATACAAAAATAATGATGATGGGTGAATTCTGTTTTGCTGCTTTGGCTTCAGGGTCTTGGTACTGTGGACGCTGGCTCACCATCACACTGTCACAGCTTACTAGGACACAGAACCACTGTCATTGTTTTTAGTAACGGTTGTGTTTTTCCAAAGATGACATGCAAAATTTCGGACTTGAAAACGACCCATAGTTATAGATTAAATTACTAAAGTTCCCATAAAGTAGTTTAAAAAATCAATGCATAAATAATGATAATCAAAAACTAAACCTAGAACTCTGCATAATTACTGCTTTTACTTTTATATTTTGGTTATATTTTGCATTTTTGCAATACTTGAACATTGTACATGTGTAAAAATCTAAATGTGGGACTTTTACTTAAGTATTTTTTAATTGCTGTTATGGACAAATGATCCAAATACCATTAATAACATTAATATTCTGAAATACACAAACTAACACCCACAAATTATGAGTGAAAATATAATTAAAGGTCCTTCTTCTTTTTTCTTTACCCCTACTTCTTATTGAAATCTTTCAGCAGCACGCAGGAGTTTGTTTTTATGAAAACGAGAGAGAAATAGTGGAAGCCTTGGACAGCGGCTGAGCAGTATTGATGGCACTAGGTGTTGCTATTGGCATCTGGACAAGTTCCACAAACTTCTCCCGGGCTTGCCAGTGACTCCAGAAATAGGCGAAGAAGGTAGAATTTGCAGGGAGAAGGCTGCACTGCAGTGTCTGCAGAGTAGGGCTCTCCTCCAATGCAATATCTGCACTTACTGGGCTGCTTTAGCTCTGACACAATATCGCACAGAGAACGGCTATAATAGAGCTCGGGGAGGGGGGTGAGGGGGACACTTTAGCAATAGATACACAAGTAATTTATCTTAACTAAAGCAGACGGCGCATCTTGTGGACGCATTATTATACAAACTCACTTCTGCAACGTGGTCACACAGAAAAGAGAGGTTGTGGCTGTTTCAGGGCAAAGATAGAGCGCACAAAGACAGGAGAGCAATATGCCTTTGCCACTGTATGGAGCAAGGACACACTGCCAAGTTAGATGATATCCTATGGGTGCAGGTCTGGGGCAGGGGAGGACACAGGGATGTGGGAGAGGACTTAGAGGAGGAGGAGGGATGAAGAGAGCAGAGGTGGGAATGACAGTGATAGGAGCGAGCACAGGATAAATCGAGGTGGGGAGGCCAAACGGAACAGAAAGAGGGAGGAGAGTAGACGAAAAGAGGCCGAGAATCATAAATATTTGAGTGGCCATAGGAGTGAACTTAGGCTGAAGCTGTTTGGTGGTTTTTTATTTTAATTAAAGAGACACATGATGCTACGAAACAGCGCAACCGCTGCCGCCACACACACACATTCATCCCTCTCCGAATCTGTAGAGGACTTTAGGTTCCTTTCTGATCAATGCAGTTC